CATAAAAAAGTGTTGTGACAGGGGTAGGTCAGCTGAAGCACTAGGACCCACACCAGGACCTACCCCAGTCACAACTACACCACCTACCCCAGCACCAGGACCATTGGTGTGACAGGGGTAGGTCAGCTATGAGATGCTTGGGATCTCACAGGACCTGCGTATGGAACCCATCCGAGGCTTTCGCTCCCCGCGCTGGGTCCCCTCCCCCTTCCGGGGCTTCGGAGCGCCGGTGGTGGTGCAGGCGAGTCTGGGCGGCTGGCACCTCGGAGAGAAACGGCGGGCGCGAACATCTCACCGTGGTTGGATTATGTTTTTGTTGTTTTGTTTTTTTTGGAAGTACTTAGAGGTTTTAGGTGGGGAAAACTGTGTTAAGGAACTATGCCCCCCAGCAAGGTTGGGAGGGTTGCCCTACTAAAATGGACTACGGGAAACCAAAAATAAAACGGGTACCCTTATTCTTAGCTCTCTACTGGAGGACCTAGGGAAGCGTTTAGAGGTTTTAGGTGTTGTGATGTTTTTAGGTTGTAGGTAAAGTGTTTAGAGGCGTGGTTGGTTAACATCTCACTTCCTGAGCTTTACATTGGTTGACAGATCTGTACTTAGATCACAAAAACCCACCCTACCTACGCACAAAGATCCAACACCGGATCATCCAAAACCTTAAAATGCAGAAACATCAAAAGATATCTTGCTGTTTGGATTCTAATTCCAATGAGCTCACTAGTTAGTGGCCACCACAATGAGGGGATCCGCGAATCAGCTCACCCACCAGCGATTCGATTCATGAGGGTGACTTGAACTATTCCCGTCACTTAGCCTGAGGATCAAAGCAAAGAGTAGAAATGTTCCTCGTTTGGTTGCCCTTCTGTTTCCTCTTCTGAAAGTGTCCTGTTTCCCCCCTCTGATATTTCCAGTTTGTTCTATAGCAAGTTTGCCCCTGCCCTTAAAAGATCTTACAAGCTGATCAATGGTCAAAACATGGTTCCATATGGTTCCCTTCGGTTTTCATTTTCCGGAAGCCAAGTTTCTTTGTGTGTGCCGCTCGGTCTTCGGAGCAGCCATGCTCAACATGCAAAAGGCATGCAAAAAGGCCTGCTCGATCCTGCAGCTTCAAGGTTTTTCACCCCAAGTCGAGTTTGTCCAGGTCCGAGGTCCCATTTGGGGTAAGAGGTGACATGGGTGACCACACCCAAGCGAATTTCAGCTCCGCTGCGCGGCAACAAACAACACGACAATGCGCCGATCGGTGTCTTTCCTTTGGGATTGTCGACGGTTTCGATGGGAGCGCCGTAACCATGCAGCCATATTTGATGTTCCATACGTTGCTTTGCCCTGCAAAAGGCAAGAGAGAAGGCTTCCATTTGCTTGGGAATATTTTGATTGTTTCCCTGTTGGTTTGAAAGAGAATCTATCACTGCTGGAAATATTTTTCTTCTGGGGGCTTAAGCAGATGGAAGAAGGGAATGCAGCCAAAGAGGCAAAAAAAGAAAAACTGTGTTAGGGGTCCGGTGGCGACGAGTTTCAATCCCCTGAATGAGCGTGAACCCAGGCTATGACTCATCCACTTCGATTTTCCGACCCATGTGAAAGTGGATGAGTCATCGCCACCCCTGGCCCATCAACCTCGCCCATCTGACGGATTTCCAAATCCGCGTCGGCCCTTTTGCCCAAAGCTCGGCGTGACCGGAGCTTCAGAGACCAAAGGCCAAAAGCTCCGCCCAGGTTGAGGCCAAGAAAACAGAGGCCCTTGGGGCCAGAAGAACGGGCCAGAAACCTCTTGAGATGGATCATGGATCGCGCAGGAAGACGCTGGAGATTTGCGCGACCTTCCACGCGGCTTTGAATGAGGTGCAGGATGCGCACTGCACACTGCCCACCCTGACAGGCTGAGTGGGGGCATGGGCACTATCAGGCAGTGAGGATGGATGAAACCCGATGAAAACTGAGATACACCACCTCCCGACTGGTCGCTTAGCGGATGTGGTCCATTTCAGGTTCAAGGCAAAGATCATTCAACGATTTTCCCCGGCCCCAACCCAAGGAAAACGAACCGCGACCCAAACTGCCCTTGATTAGAAAACTCACAACTTTGAGGGCCTCTTTGGGGCGAAGTTGAACCGGGCGCGGGTCAAAATTAAATGAGGACTTGGACCACAAGTTCTACTCCTTGGTTCCATTTCCAGGATTCCATTTTGGATCAAAACCACACGGTGCACAGAACCAATACGTTCAAGTGATTTGTCGGCTCGTTCCGTTGAATCCGCAGGTGGGCGCTTGAAAGTGGCCGGCGCGGAGACTCTGCTGCGCCTGACGCTTGGCACTCGACCGCCCAAAAACCGCACGAAGGAACTTGGGCGAAGTTACGGCTGAGCTGGTTGCTCCAAGCCCAGGGATCTTGGGATTGCGGTTTGGGGAGCCAAGTGTCTGCGGTTTGCTCTTTGCAGCCCTGGCCCTGAAGACTCCAACTGGAAGGAACGTCACTCTTCCTTGGTTGGGGCAAGCACCCCCTCTTCTGCAACGATCCTAACTCCGGGGGTCAACATTCAGGGACTTACCTGTATTGCCACGTTTGCACATTTTGTGAATGGGTTTGGGGGTCCTTGGCTGGTTTGGCATAATTAAACTGTATGGTTCGTGAACCGCTCATCTGCACTAATTGTACGCCCTTGATGGGTTGCCGTCACCCACATGTTGCCCCAGTGTAGCCAACTTTAGGATTTGAGATTTAGGATTTTTGCTTCAGGATGGCTTCGGGTTCTGGGGGTTAAGTTTTAGAGTGTTGGTTTTGTGTTTAAGGGATTTGGGTTGGGTTCAGAGTTGAGTGGTTAAGCGTGCCGAACAAGTTGCATCTTGCGCGGGCTTTTCTGCATCATCGACACGCAGAGGTCGGCTGTTGATTGGGGCGCAGGCAACCTACCGGTGGCTGGCCGCAATTGAAGCAAACCCCCGGATGCGGGGCCAAAACGAGCTTCATGAGGTCCCTTAGCGATTCCGAAATGGTTGGTGACACAATAGCAATTAATGAAGGGTGATTTGGACAGCTTGGTTGTCAAGCAAGATGTTTGGTCTATGGTTCATCTGGGGTTCGGGCCAGGGACGAGCCCTTAGTTTCCCATATCAACTTCGACCGTGGCGTTTACGAGAGGCGGCCCCTGGCACACCAGTGGGTTTGCCTTCTGACTCAGCCTTCGTGGCCTTGTGCCACAATGACCCGCATAGAACCTGGCGGAAGTCAATTCGGGGGCTCCCCCACAAAGTGATCTGGATTGCCTGTAAAATGGGTTGCGCACCCAAGAAATGAAGGGGGATGAAGCAACTGGGTTCCCGTTACCCCAAGCTTCAATGCTCGCCGTGTTTCTCGGGTGACGAGCTTCAGAAGTCACAGCCATTTCGATGAATCCGGGGTCGACATGGCTTAGAACCTCCGGCGCATGTCTGACACAGTCCCATTTTCTTCCAGGACGGGATTGGTGGTGGGATTTGAAGCCCTGGTTCTTAAGGGTAACTGGGAACCCGCCCCCAAAACACCAATCCAAACCAATCCAAACCAATCAGAGGCTTCAGTGCCTTCTCTACTTTTTTTGGGGAAGGGTTTCCCTTGAAAGTCAACCAACCAAAAAAAGAGCCTGCGCCCAAAAAAAACCCGACAAAAAAAAAAACGCGGTTCTACTTTCTGGTTGACCAGTGCCCCTTTGTTTTCCTATGGCCACTGGGTATCTGAGCTCCTGAAGACGATCCGGGCTTCAGGACGGCGAGGGCGTCGCAGCTTTGCGGGGAGGCAGGGGGCCTCAACAGCGACAGGTCGCCCAACGAAAATCGGTTTAACCAAAAAAAAACGAATGGAAAGCCGGTTGCGCCATGTTGAGTCCGATTCCCAAGAACAGATATCCTCATGATTGGGGGATTTTTTCTCCTTGGGCACTGCTTGGACATCAAGATTTGTTGGGCATTCATGTCGCATCGATCCGTTTCTGTGAGTCATGGCATGTTGATTGGGCCATGTTGGTCTGGGAACCGATTTTCCCAATCGGTTCATTGCAAGCCTGACAGAGTTGTCCTTTGGCTTTGGAGCACTCAGTCCTGGGGATGTGCTTTTGCTTGTTAGAAAACAACTCAGGAGAAAAGCAGAAGTCTGCCAGCTTGGTTTGGGCCGAAGACAAAGCAGGTGTCTGAGAATGGATCGAAAAGAAAGATGACTGGAAGCATTGCTTGGAAGTACAGCTTGAACAGCAGATTGGGATGTGATCACTTTTGCTTGCGATTAGATGCTGGGTACACTAAAGACGCCCAAAACGCATCGTTAATTGCTGTTGACTTTTTGGCGAAGACAAGCTGCTAAGCTGGGAGATCCGACAACACCACAACGAGTTGTATGTTTGCACCAAAAAAGAGATGCAAGGACAAGCCCAAGATCCATCAAAACAGAGGTTCAGAATACAGCAAGAATTGTTATGAACACTTGAAGGGAACAAGCGAATCGTAAGGATGGATTTTTCATGGTTGTGGACATGTTACTTTTTGTGATACCGTTTGATTGACTCCCGTTCCCACAGGGGAAGGACAGCAGTCCTTTTGGCAAAGCAGTGCCCAGAACCAGATTGACAATTCCTGCAACAAAGGCATAGCCCCTAAAAATGGTATTGGTAAGCTGCGCGAACGGGTTTCGAAACGTTTCCTCGGTTCAAAGGAAATGCTCGCCGGACAGAATAAGTGAATTTTCGAGCAACCTGCGGAAGAAAAAAAAGAAGCTATTATTCAGTGACACCGAGCTTCTGCCTGGGACAAACCCAATTGGATCAAAGGCCAAATGTACCAACCCATCCCCTGAGCCCCGACTAAACCGTGATACAAACCCCATTATACAATTGGGGTATGCCAAAATACAGGGACCCTCCAAGAAATGTTTTCGGCTTTCATTTAAAGAAACAAGTGAAAACTGGACCAACTCTTCTAAACCCTGCTAAAACGGATTTCGGTTTTCCTTTCAAAACAGAACCAGC